GGGTCTTCTGAGTGGCGGTGGCTCCTCCTGCTGGCCCGAGAACGGTCCCCACCTCAAAGATTGAGGGGTGGCAGGCCTCCAACCTTTCCCCAACCTCGGGGCTTTGCTGACCGAGCTCTCTGCTTCCTAGCAGGCACGAACCCATCAGGAGTCTGGTGCTAGTGTGACAGCTGAGCCTCTTGTCTGTGTGGCCGCCCGCCTCCCTCAGGACTAAGTTGTTCCTGCCAACGAAAGGGACGCCCACCCTGGGGAGCTGCTGCTTCCTCCTGTGGGGGTGGGCATGGGCCGGGCACTGGGGGGCTGGCCCCTGGCCCCTTTCTGCCAGCTCCACACTCCCTCCTGGCGGGCTTTTCCAGTCTGTAGAACTGCACTCCTTTCCCTTGCGCTGCGTCTTGGCCTGGTGCTCGCCGGTGGAGCGGGTGGGCAGGTGTGCAGGCCGGGGTCCTGTGGGCTCAGGTGGAGCCTGCAGCACCGGTCAGCATGCCCTGCAGAGAAGCTGGCTCCTTATTTATCGGGTCAGTGAAAAAAGATTTAAAAAGGGCCCCAATTTTTAATTGCAGCTTTGGATTGCAGTCAAGCCACCTAGGGATCCTTGATGGAATGTTCCAGAAATGGGTGGGAAGGGGGTTCTCTGGCTGTGGCTGTCCGTCCCGGGGAAGTCTGGAGCCTGGTAGCACCCCCGGAGCCCATGGGGGCAGGGGCCCGCGTGTCCGGCCAGGCCCTCACTGCTGGTGGCCCAGCAGTCACGGGCAGGCGGTTGTGGGTGGCCAACAGGCAGGATAAACAGGTTTTTATCACGGGGCCTGTGCTAAGGCCTGGGTGGGTTGCTGATCCGGCCTGGGAGTGTCACAAGGCCGGAAAGGCTGGAGACCTGTTTCACGGGAGGCCACGCCCTTCACTCCCACCAGAACGTGCACAGGGCCAGTCTGCTGGTTGCCTCTATTTGCTGCCTCCCCAGGGCCCGTGGGAATGCGTGTCAGGCAGGAGGTGGGACAGTGGCACCCTTGTCTGAGACAGAGATCCCAAGGGGCTGCGTGGGCTCTGGCCAACAGCATGAGCCGCGGGGTGGGGCCTGCCGGGATGCTGGCACTTTTCTGGGCACACCGGCAGTTACTGGTGCTGCGGGCCCCCCAGGTTCTTAATGCCCGCGCTGCAGCCCCGCTAAAGGGCCGAGGCAGAGCTCACGGGTGCCTCGGGTGCTCAGGGCAGAGCAGGTGATGGCCCAGGGCTCCGTGACTAGAACCAAGACAGAAGAGGCAGAAGCCAGGTCATGCTTAGTGTTTTATTTCCCGAACAAGTCATGCCGTCGACCGTCTGAACACAGGCACATGCGCAGATCCCTCTGAGCTCCTGTTCCCAACCGTCAGACTTCGTTTTGTCCCCAACCTCACGCCAGCGACTTCCTTCTGACAAGTCCATCCTTCCAAACACTTTCATAATGAATAAATGTTAAATATTGAGCTTTACTCTTACAGGAGGGGGGCTAGAAAAGGGGGTTCACTCTGTGCAAAGGACCGCGACGCCGCGCTCGTAGAAGCTGCGGGGGTCCTCCTTGGTAGCGATTTCAAAGTCTACAGTGAAGATGAGGTCTGCGCGGGTGAAGTTCAGGTACACGGGTAGGGTCACCTACAAGAAGGCAGGCAGCTTACTGCTGAGCAGGCAGAGGGACAGAAACCGCTGAGAAGGGACAGGTGGTCCTGCGGAGCTGCTGGCCTGCAGTTAGGGGCAGGCCTCCCTGGAGGAATCGGCTCAGTGCGTTGAAGGCCTGTACACACCATCTCCCCGGCCAGAGGCTGGGAAGGAGCCACTTACCACGTTAGCCTTTCTCTCTGCGTTTGTCTGCTTGACCCAGCGCAGCTGCGTCAGGGGGAGGACCGTGGAGATGGCGCTGGACAGTGACAGCTTGTTGTTACTGCATGTGGCCCCCTGGAGCTTCAGCCCTGAGGGGAGGCAGGACATGGGGTGGGTTGTGGCCACAAGTATGGCCCGGCGGCGGGGAGGGGACCCTCAGAGCAGCTGTGGCCCCCACTCACCAGTCACGCCAAAGCTGCAGGCATCGAGGGTGGCACTCTGGGAGGTGGTGACACTGACTTCCAGGCAGAGCTCCTCCAGGGACCAGCTGTTGGCCTGGGCCACGTACTGCCTGGTGGCCGTGATGTAGGCCTCGGGCACAAAGAGGCCGCCCAGGCACACGTGGATGTTCTGGGGAGGAGTGGCCCAGGTGAGAAGTACGCAGCACCCCTTCTGTCGGTCAGATCTGTGCCCGTGCTCGCCGCCCCGAGCTGCCGGGACAGTCACCACCCACCCGCAGGCCTCATTCCTCACCTTCAGCTCCTTGGCGCCGCCAGACGCCGCGGCCAGGGAGATGTCCTGCAGCTGTTTGACCCTGTCACTGAAGTCGGACACCCATTGGATGACGGTCATGCCTGCGGGTACTGTGTAGTGTGACCAGCTCCGAGGCAAGATCCCTGCAAACGCGAGACCACAGACCAGTGTCGCCTCCGGCAGTCTCGTGCAGAGGGGCCAGGGCCGCGCCTCCGTCTCCACCCAGCTGCTGTCTCTCCTCCGGGTGCCTGCTCCCAAACGCCACCCCAGCTCCAGAGCCCAGCATATGGTGCTGCCCCCACTGCAATTCTGGGGCCTGGGGGCTCCCTGCACCTTGGGACTTGAGCCCTCCTAAAAATGTAACGATCACACAAACGGGCATGTAAGAAAAAATGGGTTCTTGGGTTTTTCTCAGCCTGCCCCCCAGGCAAGGGCACCAAGCTGCTCTCAGACAGAAGCTTGCGTGCACGGCGCTCACGTGAGGCCGGGCTCTGTGCTGAGCTCCGGGCGCACACGGCCACACACCTTTCACCAGCTCATTGATGAGCGTGCGCAAGTAGTTGGTCTGCTTCTTCCTCCCCTCACACACTTGCACCACGTCGGCAAGGTCCTGGCGGACGTCCTGGAGCAGCTTCGCTCCCATCTTCACTTCTCTCTCAAAGAATCTGAACAAGGGATCCTAAAATGGTCAAGAACAAGAGGAGGTGGGAGTAAAGAGGGAGCGAGGACGTGGTGCTTCTTGCAGAGGGAGCCCGCCAGACAGACAGACAGCACTTTGGAGCCCCGACACCCCCTACCCGGGGGTGGTTCACAGCCTCGCTCGAGCGCCCTCCGGGACCAGCCCTTGTATGAAGCTGGTCCCCAGCTGCTCCAGACAAGCCTCTGAAGAGGAAGAACGGCCGGGCCACCTCCTCCAGGGGCTCCTGCCTTGCCCACCAAAGACAGACATCCTCTACAGTCCTTCTGGCTGGTTAACAAGGGTCTGGCCCTTCTGAGCCTGACCTGGGGTGGGCCGGGACATGGGCCTGCTCTGGACACCACCACGCGTGGCCCTTGCAGCCCAGCCAAGCTTGCAAGGCCCTCCCCTGGCCCGTGGGCACTGAGGGGCAGCCCTGCCCGCCCCTGGCCCGGCCACCTTGATGTTCTCCACTGTGCGTTTGAGGTGGCTCAGCGTCTGGGGGATGAGGTGCAGCCAGTTGGAGGCGGTGGTGTGCAGGGTCCTCATCCAGGCGGGGCGCCCATCGGACGTGGAGTCCACCCTCGTTTTCTTCTCCGTCTCCGCGTAGGCCAGGTCGTCCTCGTCCTCGAGCACCTGCATCTTCAGCATCTTACTGATCATGTCCACCCCTGGGCCGTGGTTCCGCCACCACCAGCAGGATCGCAGGAAAAAGAGATTTGAACATAAGGCCACATCATACATTTGTGGGAGTGACTGTGTCACCCGGAGGTGCCAAGTGGGTATGTTCCTAAAGAAATTGACACAGAAAATGGTGTGGCCAGAAAAATGGAGGCAAATACAGATGAAAACCTGCCACCAGATGTCACGAGCTGGCAGCCCAAGAGTGGGCTAGAGGGGGGCTCCTTCAGGACACGGGGTGCATGCAGTGCCCACAACAGCCTGAGCGTGGCTCTGGGCTCTGGAGTGCTGGGCGCCAGCCGGGGGCCATCTGTGCGGTCAGCTCATGACTTCTTCCAGTGGGAACTACGTGGTGGCCTTCCATGTGTTCTGGACTCCGCCCACATCTACCTGCCCTCCCTCACAGGCCCGTCTTGAAGGGTCTGATTCCATCCTATCAAGCAGCCGCGTGACTCTGGGCCTGTTTCTCAGCCACCGGGAGGGCTCGTTGGGATGGAAGGCTGGGCCCAGGCACCCCCGCTCTCCTTCAGGAGGATGGCAGTGTGCCTGGGAGCCTGCATTTCTACTCAGGCGAGGCTGATAGCACTGTTCTGGGCCCATACTTTGAGAATCACTGGAGTGGACAAGTTCTTGGTCTTCCTCATTCACATGAACGTGAGCCTCTTGCCCAGACCTGAACCTGAACTGCAGCGACGACTGACTGGAGCCACGGTCCCTGCCTCCCCGAGGAGCCGAGTGAGGAGCAGCTCAGCGGGACAGGCAGTCTGGTGGTCTGACCGAGGGGACGTCGAGGCCATGGAGCCACAGAGGGGGGTGGCGAGAGGCCCTGGGGCACCCACCCTGCGTGGTGAGGAGGACTCTCTCCGCATTGTTGGGCAGGCCCAGCCAGGAGGGCGTCTGCGTGTCGGGGAGCAGCTCCACCCACTGCACAAACTCCTCTCGCCTGGAAAACCAGCAAAGGTGGAGACGCTGAGAAAAGGCGCCGCCTGAGACTGCCCGGTGTCCCGACTGCCAGGGGCACGGGGCGGGCTCGTACCTGATGCCGTCGGGCATTTGAATGTCTTTATGCCCATCAACCTTGCAAGCCAGCTTGAACTCACTATCGAAGCTCTTCGTCGTGAACAGGCGCTCCAGGAAAGTGCTGAGCAGGCGCTGGTCAAACTCATTGTCCACCCGCCCGCCGTAGATGGACTGCGCCATCAGGGTCTTCAGTGCTGACCACGGGATCTTATCTGGCGAGATGTTCTGCCTCCCCTGGAGAGAAAAGACCGGGTCACCTGTGTGTGGGGGGAGAGGGGGTGCCCACACAGCCCGGCTCCCCAGCAGGCAGCAGGCGGGTTTTCCTCCCCCCACTCACAGATGGCCCCCTGTCCTCTGCTAGGAAGCCGCCGCTCTCCCACCTCACCGTCATCGTTCCCAGCATTTCCCTTCTGTCTCGGACATGGCCCAGCCCACACTCGCCTTGGCAGTGTCGTCCAGCCACGTGTCCACCGTGTCGCAGGCCGACCGCAGGTCAGACTCCCCGAACTCATACTTCTTGGACCACCCCAGGGGTGCGTATCGTAAGCGTTCCTGGATGATGGCGTGGAACCAGGCCAGCAGGAAGTACAAGCGTGCACGCTCGTTGGGAGACTGGATGAGGAAAGTCATCAAGGACAAAGTCAGCAGGAGGCAGCGCCCCTGTCATCTAGGGGACAGCGTGGATCCCCGTCAGAATCGGAGCTTCAGAGGGAGGCTTCTACATACAAACGCTGGCACCACTGACCCTCGGGCTGACTATGCAGCACGTTAACACGGATGTTGTTGCGAAGAGAAAAGTACGTCAAAGTCTCTACTGATGAAGGTGAATTATTTGGCTAACAATGATAAAGACCAGTGTTCTGAAGATGTCACGAAAAGTGGATTACGGCACCAAATAAACTGGTACTGGAGAACCCCCCGCTCCTGCCTCCAGCCTTCGCTGGGTGTCCAGCAGGGGCACTGCTGGCCTTGGGTGGCCTGTGTGCTTGAGCACAGGACTCCAACATCGGCTCCGGGATACGAACCGGGGCCCTGGCTAGAGCACAGTCTGCTCACCCGGGAGCCTAACCCTCACACCCTGCAACCGATCACTCTGCATGGAGGGAAATCTTGCCTGCAGTAGAATCGGCCATACGACTGGACGTTCTGGGGTCACTGGGAGGCACAGAGCCCGCTCCGGCACTGCGCGGCGGGACGCCATCTCTCGGGCTCATGCAAGAAGTGCCCTGGGAGGAAGCACTCTCACCTTGCATATTCGCGCGACGGGGATGCTGCTGAACGTCCTCAGCATGTTGGCCTTCACCCCTGGGGGGGGCTCGAACACGAAGATGCGGCCCGCCCGGAGCAGATTCACCGGCACCTGAGGAAGACGAGCCCCCATCACCGCTGTGGTTTGCAGTGCGCGTCCGCTCAACCACATGCACGCTGACCAGACGCCATGCTGACCCTCCCAGGCAATGCGTCTCCCTGCTGCCCCGCACCTTGGGGTTGATCTCCATGGTGAGGAAGAGCCTGAAGCAGGCGTGTGGCTGCAGGGAGTGCAGCTTCTTCTCCAGCTGCATCAGCCACCCCGGCGCCAGGTGAACGTTCTTCAGCATCACCCACCTGCCCAGGCAAAGCAGAAGCCACGCTTCAGGTTCCCGACTGAATTCTTGGGGACCCAGGCTTTCTGCAAACAAACCCGACTCACCTGCCTGACTTCACAGCTGTATTTATTGCCTTATCCGCTTGGTTGAAGCCTTCTGCCGAGCCTGATGTCAGAAAGCTTAGTGTCAGCACAGCAGATTTGGACTTCAGTGCCCACCATGCACTCTGGGCGCCAGCCCATGAAACCCTTCAGCTCTTACCGATTGCAATGGAAGTGATCTGTGTGTTCTGTTCAGCAGCCAGGTCTTCAACATGCCCACTGGCATCATAACCAGGCACAGAGCACATTAGGACTGGAGTATTCGGCTTTACCTGCAGGCGCGGGAGTCAGAATGAAGTCAGAGATCGTCCTGCCAGACAGCGTGTACCCTTCGCGAGAGGAGTGCCCTGCGCACGGGGCTTGTGGAGACGCCTGGGCCCACTGTGCGGGTGCCCGGAGCCAGGCAGTCCAGGGTCTACAGCAGGCACATGGCCTTTGGAGGAGGTTCTGCTGGGAGTCAGGGCCCAGGAGGTGCACGCAAGGCTGTGGTACCTCTGTGTCCACGATATGGGTCAGGTCCAGCGGCTGCTCCATGATGGACATGAAGGACTCCCCAAGATTGGTGGAAACAAATATGTGGGCCATGGCCAGCAGGCGGTCAGGGCGGAAGGCCTGGATCAACAGCAGGCGGTGGATGGCTTGCCCAATGGGTGCTGAAGCGAGGTGGGGAAGGGCTGGTGAAGCACAGGCCCTGAGCTGTCCCTCTGCCCGAAGCCTGTGCTCGGCAGACACTCACGCCTAAGGAGCAGCTCCAAAATCTCCAAAATCACGTTCCCACCTGTGGTCCTCTCTGGCCTGAGGAAAATCAACACCACTTCCTACCTCAGGGAACCCCCTGGACACACCAAGGGCAAAGCCGCTCAGGTCTCTGAGGGCACGGTGGCCGTGACTGTGAACGACCCCACCCGCACCTGTCTGCAGCGGGGGGGGGGGGGGGGGGGGGCACCTGACGGCCCTTGAGACTCTGCAGACCATGGTCACCGCCGGCCCTGCCACCGATCTACAGCTGTGCCGGGCATGGTCCCTCCCTCTTCCTCCTGGAGCCCAGCCGGCCCAGGACCTCAGCACGTGCCCTCTATCGGCCCATTTCCCCCTAATGCTGGGCAAGGGCCTCCCCATCTGTGTCTTGGTCTTTCAGCAAGAGTTGGCACAAGAATCAGGCATCTCCTGCTCTCTCGCTTCTGCGCCAAGTCCTGAGGTTCCAGCGCTGAAACGCTTCTCTCGGGAGTCAGAGCACTGTATCTGGGAGGCGTCCCTTCCCTCAGAAGCACAGCCCAGTCTCACAGCTGGGGCCAGAACGCATACGCCAGGGGCCTTGATGCGGGCTTACTTGCAGGGCTGTCTTCACTCCACAGGTACGGCACCGTCTGCTCAGGGGAGCTGCTATCCAACCACATGCTGAACTGCTGTGGAGACAACACCAGGAGCGTCAGCACGGGGCAGACCCACCCCCCGGCACGGCTGTCGGACATGACAGTGCACACCACCTTGCCTGGCCTTTACACAACACACAACTCCTCATTGCCCTCTTCCTGGGAAAAGGCCAGGTGGGGTTCAGAACACTTACCTCGTCGGCCTGAACCTTTGCAATCAGGTCTTTAAAGGCAGGGAGACAGCTGAGCCTCACCGCCGCTTCGGCCTGCTCTACAGTCAGGCCCGGGACCTTGGGCGTCGAGCCAGCACTCAGGACAATCTCCTTCCCTCTCAGGAAGTGCTGGAACTCGGCATCGTAGGTGGGCTCCCTGGGAAGGGGCGATGGGTTAGCTAGGGTCCCTTAGATCCATTTCTGTCATCACTATGAGACAGTAATGGCTTAAAGAAAAAAAAACTTATCCCATCACCAAACACTAGCAGGCAACCCAAACACACCGCTGTTCTGCGGCGGCACGGGAAGCAGGGCAGCTGGCCTTACCCGACGGCGCCCTTCAGTTTGATCCTGGCCAGGAGCATGGCGAAAGTGATGTGGTCCTGATGCGGCATGCCTCGGGCCACGCGGTTAAACGCCACCTGGAGACAGAAGCAGGAGCTCTGCGCCTCCTGAAGCTCCGCCTCCCAGCCCTCCCCCCAGGCGGAGCCGGCAACGGGCCACTACCTGGAAGAGGTCCTTGGTTATGAGGCCGAGGCGCTGCGTGTGGTCGGTGATGCCCTTCAGGTTCGGGTTCTCGTACAGGACGTTGTGGTAGATGTCCAGGAAGAACTGGAGGGAGTACTGGTACAAGAAGTGTATCTGAAAGGACATGGCCGGTGGCACCCGTGAGGCACTCACGGCGTCAGGGCGCGACCGGCCCGGCGCGGCACGGCCCCCAGGGTCACCTGCTTCAGGGACTCCATGGTGAAGTAGATGCTGCTGCAGGCTGTGGAGAGCGGCAGGTACTGCTGGGACACCGTCTCCACCTCCTGCATGACGAGGTCGGTCTCCTCTACCTTCCTCGTCACCTCAGCCGCTTCCCTCTTGAGGTTCTCCAGGGTGGTGATGATGGTGTCGTCATCCAAGATGCGCCCTTTCACTTCATTCAGGGCTTGTAGCAGGGATTTTTCTAGCTGACGGAGCCGTAGCTGAAACTCCCCTGAAATGGTTAAAACATCCAGTTTGCTTTCGTGCTTAGGTTCTTCCAGAACGAACACTCTGGGGTGCCGGCCATAAACCTGGCTGTCCTGGTCCCTTAAACGCTCAGCCTCCTAACCTGCCCCAAACCTCAAAGCTGTAGATCCAGACACATACCTTGAAGTTTAAGAAGATCAGACCGTTTCTCGTCCACATCAGGTCTCTCTGCTTTAAGCACTTCGTTCAGACACTGGCTCTGTAAGCTGCTGCGAGTGACTGTGAAGTTGACGAAAGTCACCCGGGAGCAGAGGTCTGGGGGGAACTCCACCTGCCAGGGGGGACGGAAGGGCCTGCTTGTTACTTGAGCTGTAACACCAAAGATGCTGCATTCTCACGTATGAAGGGCCCTGCTCCTTACGGTCGGGTCTCGGGTGGACAGGAAGATGACAAACGATGGCGACAGGTCTATATCCTGGTCCCCAAGGGTAATCAGCACTCTCCCCCCTGTTCGCCGCACTTCACGGTTCAGGACCGGATTCAGAACTGGGTCGTAGCTCTCCACGTCCTGTATGTGCACACGTGAAGCTCAACAGTCAGGACTTCGCGGCACTTCGATGGTGTGCTGACTTCTACTCCAGGTGAACACACCTTCTCAGAAGCCACCCAGCCATTTAGCCCTGACTGTCCTATGTGGCAACCACTAGCCATATGTGGCCACATAATTAAAATGAAAAAATTCAGCTCCTCAGTCACTGGTCACATGAACTGCCCAAAAGCCACGTATGTGGCCAACATCCCAGACAGCACAAATTAGAGAACGTTTCCATCATGGAAGGATGATGTTCCAATGGATAGAGATAATCTAGACCCAGGTGCAATTTTAAGGGGAAACATTGCTGTTTAGATTTTTTTATAGAATAATCTCAAAGCTTTATCCTTGTTCTGATATCAAATGAGATGCTACACAGTTCAAAAATGATCACTGTTTGTACTATGTGATTGAGTTCTATTTTACAACTGTGTTGGGAAAACCTGGCAGGAAGCAGCGTCCGGAGAGCAGACCCACCTGGACGAGCAGGGGGTTGCCGAATCTCAGGGCGCTCTCCAGGTTCTTCCTGAAGGCGTCGTCCAGGAAGCTGGTCCGCGTGATCTTGCGGTCCTTGTACTCATTCATGATGAACTCGGTGGCCTGCCCAGAGGGGTCAATGATCAGCGGGTACCTGAGGACGAGGCAATGGAGGGCAGTTAGAGGCCACGGGGCACACAGCAGGTGGCAGAGCCCCCAACAAGATGACAGAAGGGCTGTCCCTACCACTCGTGTGGTTTTGGCTTACCCATAGGGATGAGTGTGACTAGTGCACAACACTACAACCGTCTTTTTGCAGAACTTCCATGATAATGAGGTAAGAGTCCCAGGCCCTGCTGAGGGCCATGGTTAAACCTGTCCTTTCTGGGCCACAGATTTGCTTTCAGCACTTGCGCATGTCATTCTCTGCACACCAAGCATGAGATGCTAGAACTGCTGTTCTATGTATTACTCCTGTTCTTTCAGAAGGTGAATTCCTAGCAGGCAGATATTAACACCACTGCTGCAGCAGCCCCCAGAGTTCAAGCCACCAGGAATATAGGCGATTAGACATGACTTCACTTAATCCTTCAAATAGTCTATCGGATGGGTATTGGTATCACATTTGTTTATACAAGAGCAAAATGAGGCAGAGAGGCTAAGGTGATCTGTCCAGGGTCACACAGCCAATTAAAAAACAATTTTAAACAAGTACTATATACACACATGCCTGTACAAAATCCAGAAGCGGGACTCTCTTGTCCCCTCCTGGCATGAGCCGGGAGCTCTGTCCCTTCATTTTATCTCTAAATAAAAGCCTGTACCTTGCTCTCCTAAAAAAAAAAAAATCCAGAAGCTATGAGAGGGCAGTTGGTGAGAAGACCTGCCGCTGCCCCTGTTCTGTGGTCACCAGTTTCTGGTCCGTCTGTCCAGAGAAGGCCTAGGTGTTTGCAGACACATGCTTGTGCATGGGGTGCACTCCCACCCTCACTCGGCATGAGCAGCCCTCCACACATGGGCACCGGGTGAACAGCCGGGTCTGCGAGCCTGCCCTGGCCTCCCATGGTGGGGATGCATGGTGGTCTGTTAACTGGCCAAAACATGTGAGTATTTCCTGTCTTCTCCTAGTAATACTCCATCCTCACAAACACTTAGATTTGTCCTCATTCTCGTGTGCCAGGCTACTGCTGAATCAACACCTAAGTGGGTGTGGTTTCCACTTAAACGACTCTAGTTCTGCACGGAGACTGTGTGGACGGGTCAGTGTCCTTGTCAGCCCCGTCTGGTGAGCCACTGAACCACTCATGGGACTGAGGGTTTGCTCATAAAGTCAAAGGACACCTGGAAGGGTCTGCACTGCCTTCATGTCCCTGGGACAGTGGCATACAGCGAGGGTTCAAAGGTTTAGAGGAGGTTAAAAAAAACCTGGAATGTGTGAACCTGGAAAAAAAAAAAAGGACACCTGGGAATATGTTTTTAAAAACACCAATGGTGTCTGGGTTTGAGAGGAGGGGAAGCCTCGGCGAGCCAGGCGGCCTTCACGTGGGGCCAGTGGCGAGGACTCCGCTACAAGAGCACGTCCAGCCGGCTTGCACTGCTGTTACATTCCATCTCTTACTCTGGCCTTAAGCCAAAAAACAGGTAGCAATTTCCCCATTACCTCTACTTCTAGCTAATATTTTCAGTTCTTACACTATTTTAAGAAAGGGTCTGTTTGAATGTCCACTCCAGCACCCAATCCTGCCAGTCAGTTTCAGAGGTCACACAAGACACACTCCCTACAGAAGAATGCAGGCAGCAGGGTGCGAGTCACAGCACAGGCACAGGGCGTCTGCACGGCACGCCTCCCCCCACCCCTCGACTTCCTCCTCAGCTCTTCAAAGGTTCCGGGTAAGTCTTAGTAAAAATGGATCACAGCACATAAAAACGTCTAACCCGCCCTCTGTCGTGGAGAGGCCCATACCTGTTGAAGCGTTTGAGCATGATGGCATTCTCTGTGCACAGGTCGTCGGCAGGTAAGGAGCTGGCTTGCCAGCGAAGACGCTCATCAGCATTGGAGAGATATTCCGTCCTGGCAATGTCTGTACGAAACTGAACGGCGAGGAAAGTTACTTTTCCTTTTCTTCAGAACTACATACAGTAGAGCTTTCAACTTAAGACTGAGTTTACTGAGCATCAAATGGGCTCACAAATGTACCATCTCTTTGAAAGCCCCAAGGACTGTTACCTGGATATTAGCTTGCTGTAGGTGGTGGGACCAGGTGGTGAACAAGTTTTGACGCATCTGCTGGTCAAAATAACCCGCGTAAGCAATGAACGCGGCTGACAGGAGGCAGTCCCCAGCAATGGTGGACATCTGGTTCTTGAAAGTCTCACTTGTTTTTTCCCATCGCTCACGTTCAGCAGATAAACTCTTCAGAAGAGCCGTGCTCCGGTTTACCTAAAGGGAAAGCCCAACAGGATTTACACTGAGAAGGGCAGATCTGTCCCTCCACATTGTGTGCAGGGTTTGGGTGGGCTAGAAATAGAGACTGGCTCCAGTTGTTCATCATGTCAGACCACTGAGAAATGGCACCACAAGTCAGACCCTACCCGGGTGTGAGACAGGTGGGTAGAAGTGTCAGACCAAAACGTGTGTGTGCAGAAATGGGGGCTGGGAGAGGGGTCCTCCCAGTGAAAGGAACAGCTTGGGGAGGTCTGGCCTGGAGGGAAGAGGCACTGGCGGCAGATCACAGCATACTGAGGGTTCCGGAGGAGCGCGGGCAGCAGTGGTGGGCAGGAGGCCCCAACAAGGAGGCCTCAGCACTGCCACTTAGACAGCTGCAGGTGGGAGGGCAAACAGGGCTGGAGCTGACCACGGGGAGAGGACCCGCTGGCTGTACCCTGCCCCCCTGGTACCCATCTATCCTGATTGATGCCACTCAGTAAACAGGCAGGAGAGTCACCCTCTCAGCCACTACAGAACCAATCAGCCGAGACACACATGGTGCAGGCAGCACCTATTCACATGCGTTAGGCTCGGCCTCCACCAAACGAGGCCGTGAACATCTCATGGTAACCACCACGAAAACACAGAATTTCAGGGAAGCTGGCAGGAAGACTACAGACTCCTCACAGTCTTACTTTGGCTTCAACAGCAGCCAGGTCTGCTTTGATGGCCTGGGCCTCTGAGATGAGGACGGCGTACTCCTCCTTGTAGCGGGCGATGCTGGCTTCCAGGTCCCGGATCATCTGCTCCACCTCGTTGGCCTTCTGCTGGTTGTCCTTGGCGTCGTCCTCCAGCTTCTGCAGCTCGTTCCGCAGGGGCTCCACGCGCTTCAGCATGTCGGCATAGTTAAGCTGAGGAGGGCAAACGGTAGTTACTTTTTTAAAGTGACTAGACAAGCGGTCCCCTTCCACATGGGAGCTCCCGGCCAAGCTAGCTACCTGTGCGATCGCCCATTTGACCATAGGGCCACAGGCCAGGGAAGCGCGATTTACAATTTCATAATTGTAGCTTGGATTGGACATGTAGTTTTTCTTCATCTTCTCCCTTATGGCATCACTGCAGAAGAGGAATTGTATTTCTTAGTACATGTAGGGACAAGTAGGGTTTTTAGGAAATTCAAAGGTGAAGGCCAGTTCCCATCTGTCACCCACCCATGGCTGCTGCAGATGGGCCAGACCGACTGTCTTCACAGAGAGTGGGCGCTGCTGCTGAGGACTCTGACCTTCCCCTACCCTCCCCTGGCAGGAGGTGGACTCCAGGGCCCACCCAGCTGCAGCAGGGGAGTGGCCCTTGCTCCGAGGGCAGTACAGGGCTCAGAGCTATTTGTGGGGATGGAACAGAATTGGGCTCACGGGGTTAAAGGACAGAAAACTATTGCCAGGAACAAGGGCAAGAAATCGGAGTACCTCTTTGAGTGGGTAGGCCTGCAAAGGCATTCGTGCAATTTTGTCTTCTAGCATTTTTTTTGCCAGAACACCAAGGCCATGAGAAAACCTCTCAACACCTAAACAACTTCTTGCTCCTGGGTACCGTTCACCTGATCTCCTCTGCGGAGAAGTTCACGATGGTGGGGATGAAGTTCTCGCGCATGATGATGGAGCGAATCTGCTTCCAGTCGGTCGTGCTCTCCCCCAGCAGCAGGCAGATGGACTCGAGCGCCAGCTTCACAGCCGCGGGCGGGTTGGCCATGGAGCGCACCTCCACCAGGTGCTGCTTCTTGATGGACTTCACAGCTGGGTGCAGCAAGAGAGGAGGCGGGGCGGGGGGTGAGGGTGGCAGCAGGCGCAGGAGAGGGCGCCCAACGGCAGCCGGGCCTGGGCCCGTTCGGAGAAGCGACAGCTCCTCGGGGGATATGAGCGAACCTGAGAGTCTCTGTCTGAAAAAGCTTTGTGATAATAATGAGTTGTGAGAAATACGTATTTGGTCACTCATATGACAAAATAATATTTCCCAGGTCTATCTGGTCTTCATCCAGTCACTGAAAACACCGAACAGTCTTAACGGTAAAATGGGTGTCTTGTCACGTTAATGGAAGCTTTCGGACCCCGACCCAAGGAGCTGGAGGCTGAATCAGCTAACGGCCAATGATCTAGTCAAACATGCCTATGCAGTGAAGCCCTCCCAAGCCTCCCAAGAAGAGCTCATCACTCCCTCGCTCTGCTCTGCTGGGCAGGATCCGACCTCTCAGGTGGAAAGAACTTCCACGCTTGGGGAACCAGAATGCCTCTACGTGCCATCAAGCCGGGCCCCGAGCTCCACGAGAGAAGGTGCTGTATTTGGGACCCTGCCCTGTGTCTCTCGCGTCGGGCTGTTAACCTGCATCCTTGACGGTATCCTGCATTAAACTGGTGAACGCTAAGTGCTTTCCTGAGCTGCTCCAGCAAGTTCATCAACCTTTAAGGGGGAGGTCGTGGGAGCCTCCAATCTGTAGCCAGCAGGTCAGAAGCACCAGGAACTGCCTGGGCTTGCGACCAGCGTCTGGAGTGGGGGCGGAGGGCAGTCTTGTAGGACGGAGCCCTTAACCTGGGCATCTGCTGCTGTCTCCCGGCAGACACCGTCAGGATTGAGCTGAGTTCTCGGACACCCTGCTGGCGTTCGAGAACTGCTTGGTGTTAGTATGTGTGGGAAGACCGCCTCCCACACGCTTACGCACTCTGGGATCGGGAGTTACACTGCTCTCACTGCTGGGTGTAATAGTTACTGCTGGACACACGTGGGGAAAATGTACACCACCGGATTAGGGGTTGGATGAGTGGGAGGAACACTGCCGGAACAGTTTACGTAGCAGATACGCAATAATCACGAAGACCTTACTAGAGTGCACCCCATCTGCACTACTCCGGAAACAGTAGGGTATTACCTTTAAAAACATCTCACAAGTCCTCATTAATGCTTCTACCTCCATAAAGACTGAAAATTTTAAATATGATTGTGCATCTATTTTATATAATTTAAACAAAGATGTGTTCAATATGCCACAACTTAGAAGTTGTCTGGCTGGGTGAGTATATAGAATTAACAGTTCTAAAAAAATGGACATTTCCTTCCATAAACTGAAATGTAGTTTTCCAGCCTTAACTTTTAATAAAACACTTTTTTAAAAGTAATTAGTCAGCAGGTGAGAATTAAATTCCCATCTAAATCCAACTTTGAAGGAAAATCTATAGTTTGGATAGTGCATTTTAATTCACCTTGTGGTACAATATAAAAACTTCATAGTTTATAGGCAGAAAGGGAGCACAGGTCTCGGCTACTCTAACTGCTGTATAAACTGCAAACTAAGGTCGGGTGACAGGTTCCGGCCCCACTTTTGGGGCACTGCACAGGCACTTGTGTGTAACGAGAAGAGGCCATCACCAATGCTCACACCAGCAAGTGCCGGGCAGGCCAGAACGCTGAGAAGTTCATTGTGAGACAGCAATGTGAATACTTCATGGTGTTTCTGGGTAAAATTCAAGCTAAGGGTCAGGGACTCTTAGCTTAAATACATAATACCAAATTTTTAAAAAAGTATATAGACATAAAGCTTATTTTGTCAACTTCCTCTTATGAGAAGGGTTTTACTCTGGTGAAAGCACACTAGCTTTACAGGAACCTTGCTTTAGCGGATGAGGACAGTCCTAGGTATTCAGAAAGGCCTTCAGATGTTCACCAGTGATGCTCTGGACACGTGCACCCCTAGAACCTCAGAGGGAAGCTTGTGTTCAGTCCCCTCAAGTCTACAGTAGTGGAGGGCGAGCACCCTTCTTGGAAAGGTGGGCGCTGACCGCGCGCACATACCATTCTGGGCCTCGATGACAGCGGGCTCCACCTTGTCAAGGTCTTCCTTGACGCTCATCTGCTTGTCTGCAATCACTTCCTGCTGCTTGTGCAGCTGCTCCTGAATTTCTTGGCTCATGACCTAGAAAGGTTGGATGGCTCAGCTTTGGGTTAAGCATTGGGTAATGTGCTGAATGAATCCTGAAACAACCCTCCTCACCCCAGTCCCCTTAACCTGTCCAACCCCTAAAGCCCCTCTTGGACCCCACAGCCCACCCTCATGAGAGACTGAGGCGCTCAGGGCACACAGGCCACAGCTCCTGGAACACAGGTAGTACCTTTTTCTTCTCAGCCTCTTGTTGGTCTTTCACCATCTTTTTGAGCTTGTCGTTGGCTGCTGCGTTCTTCACCTCCAGCTCCTGGCTCTTTATCCTCAGGTCACGACGTAGCTCTTCTACCTAAGGAGCAAAAACCGCGTCAGAAAAACAAACAAGAAACTTCCTTGAAAGGGGTCGTCACTGCAGCCCTCTCGGTAAGTGAGGTACCTGGTCGACGGTCTCTTTGATTTTCCGGAGCCCAACGTTCAAGTGCATCTGTTGCTCCTCCAGCTCGCTTCGCTTCTCATGGAACAGGTCGGCATAGTGGTTGATGAAGTCCAGGTAGTGGCGAGGCGTGATGGCCATTGTCCTGCCCCCTCGCTTTGCCAGCCGAGCATTGGCCTTTTAGAAGATACAGGTCAATCTGGGCTGGTGACTCTGTTACAGAGGGCTGCCCCAGGCACTGAATGGTCTATAGCAGCATCCCTGGCTGCCTCCCACTAGACGCCAGGGACAACCCCAGCTGGGCCAACCAAGGCCCTCAGGCGTCGCCAAGTGTGCCCTCATAGCAAAATCACCATATAATGAAAGTGAACGCTGAATGGTAAATTCTGTCTGGGCCAGAACAATGATAAATCAACTAGAAAGCTGTAGCTAAACTTGCCTGAACATGACTCTTATAACTGGGCAGCTCTATGGAGAACCCTGAGCACTGTGCTCAGAGTCAGAAGAGACTGGCTTTCCAGTCGAGATGCTTTCTGCACAACCTATGTGGGTCTCTTGACTTCAGCTGTATGTATTCTATGAGGGCTCCCACAAAACAGCAATGCCAGTTATTCTGCTAACAAGCCATCTTTTCTGCAATAGCCTTCTCAATAAACTGATGCCAAATATGAAAAAAAAAGATAAAGAAGGTCAATATTTTCACTCTTCAGGACGTTCTCTGCAACTTAACCCCAAAGAACTCTAATTGTTCTGCCCGGTGGACTGCTGTGTGACATGGTAGCACAGACCCAGCCTCAGGGACCGTAACACCGGGGCTGGGGTTTTGGCTCAGCCTCTAAGATCTCAAGAAGCCTCTAAAGCTCTGATTTCTCCTCAGACTTGTCAGAGATGAGGAAGGTGATCCTGGCAGCGTCAGAGGTGCACTTCCCACAAGAAGGACCCCACAGCTGGCGATACTATGTAAGTGTCAGTGAGGCTCCCCCACCACCTCCAGCTCATTTTCAAGGGTACCGAAACGAGAAGCAGTGCCGGCAGAAGGAGCGAGCGGCACAGGAGCCGTGGCATCAGCTACTCTAAGGCAGATTCTGAGGCAGGGTGGCCAGGGTGACAGCACGAGGTGGCCTGCGTACGGCACGGATGGAAGGGCAGCGACTGAGCAGACGCCCACAGCTCAGAGTGCTTTTTACAAAGCTTTTCGGATGGCAGCAGACTGGTCTCTTCTATTACAGGGTGTGAAGCAAAGCCAACCCACTATGGCCAGAAGACCAGACCCCACAACCACGTATTTCTGTAAATGAAGCTTCAGTGACACAGAGTCACACCCGCTGGTGCACAGGGACTACGGAGGCTTTGGCTCCAAGGGCAGAACCAATGAGATAAAAGACCCTCCTGGCCCGAAAGGCCTGAAGCATTTACCATCTGGCCTTGTGCAGAAAAAGTGTGCTGACCCATGGTCTAGGGGCAGAAACAAGGGCCTGGACGAGCAGCAGCAGTGAAAGAGCAGCACAGAGAATGCTTTACAAAGGAAGGACACCCCGTGGCAGCAGCAAGGTCGGGTGATGCCTGGTAATGAGGAGGTGAGAGAATGGGAGACAGCAGGTCCCCTTCACAGGCGCTGGGGCAGCGTCCACCGTGGAGCGCTCCGGGGTCTACTCCACCTCAGTTTAGTTTTACATTGTATGACAGCTGGTCTTCCTTTCCAATGATCTCAAAACTGAACCCACCTGGTGAAGTGTCTGATGAACAAATACACAGCTGTTCACAATAGCTTCCCGATGTGAAGGTGGCTGTGGCAGTTTGTCATACACAACGGGCATGTAGTCAGGCACAATGTAATTCGGCTTCTCCAGGTCCATTTTACTTGTGAATTCTTTGCCAACCTGATAAAGGGCTTCAGTGGACCAGTCCCCAAACCAGTTCAACACACACCTGAAAAAGATGCCCACATCTCAAACAGCTGGCAGGAGCAGGCTTGCCCCCTGGGAGGACTGTTCTGACCCAGAGCTGAGTGAAGAGCTGCGTACCTGTTGAAGAGGGCTGGGGAGGTGGCTGCGCGGTCCTTGAGCCCCTCTGAGGACGGGTTCATGGTGAAGACGACATGGAGGTTGCGGATAACTTGGCTGGTGAACCATTTGTACAGCTCCTCGTGTGAGTCCAGCATCAAGCCCTCCTTCTGGGCCCCCTCTTTACACTGGGTCATCAAGGTGGCATACTCATCTCCTTCGAAGAGGCCAGGAACCTAGAGTAACATGGCACAATGGCTGACTGGGCCTCAGAACCTGATGCCAGGTAACATGCAACACCAGGCAACGTGGCACTCAATTACCTCTCCGTTGGCCAAGAGCGTGTTCATCCGCTCCAGGAATCCAGAATCTAACACATTGGATTCGTCCATGATGAACGCTATCTTTTCATTTTTACAGCCGGAACGTCTCAACACTGTGCGAAGGTCTTCATCAAAGTCTTCCCCTGTGTACTTCCTGTGGACCTACAGAGGCAGGTGGCGGGTTAGGTCCTTCTAGTTCAAGGCACCATGTGCACGAATCACGGATCTGCCGCTGGGATCAGGCACTGTGCCGACCCACCTTGATCTGGTACACACTCAGACCGTTCATCCAGGCCACAAAACGGGACAGGGTGGTTTTTCCTGCTCCACTGACACCAATCAGAAGCAAGTGGCCTTGAGGCTGGCGGAATATTCTGAAACGTTACCAGAAAGGATAAACTGTGAGGCTTTTATGTTTCATTCCCCCTTTGATGCTCATGTCCTAAACTTTTCGGGATTTAGCCTACATTTTTGATGTTTTAACTTGAATTTATACATAAAATACTTGTTGAGTGATTAGTTATCTGCCAGGTCTAGTGGGGATGCAAAGATCATAAGACATGGTCCCATCTTCCAGATGCTCAGATGACATGAGGGGGCAGACCCGACTCCAGGAGGAGGCTGAGAGAGGGTCATGGGAGAAGCAGAAAGAGGTTCTGCTGAGGAGGGTTAGATGGTTGGGCGGCCTCAGAAAGAAAGAAGAGATGGGGGTTCTCGGCAGGGAAGACTGAGGTGGAGGTGGGGGAGTCCGTCAGAACAGCGTGAGGCCTGGCATGAGCCCCCGCCACTAACTCAAGAGCAGCTTAGCCGAGGGGCAGAGCGCTCGCAACAGAAAGCCCACCGGTCAATCCTGAGCACGTGGTCCAGCACTTCATTGAACAGGACCAGGGGGACATCAAGTTCTTCTTCATAGAAGACTTTCAGCCTAGCTTTGACGTAATCTCTCAGCTCTTCTTGATCTACTGGGATGTAATCCTATAGAAAAAAAGGCAAGACCCAAATTACTGAGAAGATATCATCTTAGTTATTACACCAAAGTCAATTATATTTCCATTTACTAATAATCTGTTAAGAAATTCAACAAAAGATGGTATCATTTATAACATAGCAATAAAAATGTAAGTTAACTAGGACTGGATCTAGTTATCTCTACATGGAAAACCCTTTTACAGAAAACTGAAGTCCACTGAAAGGCACCACAGATCTAACGAGATCACCACAACCATGGAGGGAAGCACACATGTGTAAAAACGCCCGTGCCGTCCAGAGAGAAGTAGTGCGACCCTAGTCACGGTCCCGATGGGGGTGGCGGGGTGGTCTTGGTGCAACGTGATGAAACAAGTCTACTTTCCATTTGGAAGAGAAAAGGGCCAAGGATGGTCGAGATCGCCCTTAGGAAGGTCCGGGCGTGAGGGCCTAGCCTGTCACTGATTATCGCTGTAATTAGGACCATGTGGTTTTAGTGCAGGAGGCAACCAAGGTCGACGGAACAGGACAGAGCCCAGGAGGCAGACCCTGCACACAAGGGACCCACTACGGCCGAGTGACACTCAAGGGCAGGTTTTCAACGAGCAGCGGGGGGACCATGGATGGCCACAGGAAAAAACTGGGAACAGACTCACAGCTCCCTCCATACACCAAGTTGCTCGTGGATTATGGGTTTATGTGACCTAACTTTAAGAACATTTGTTCTTCAAAAGACACTACAAAGAATGAAAAGACAAGCTACTGGGAGAAGATGCTGCCTGTATAAACGAAGAGGACTAGTACCTAGAGTCTAGAAATAGACAGGAAATGCCCGCAACCCTGAACAAAGCCACCTTGCTATTTCTTGCTTCTACACCTTCGCTTCTGTCAGGCCCTGTGCCTGGGATGCCCTTCAAGATGGCCTACAAACCCCGCCAGGGCCCGAGGCCAGGGGCAGCTCCAGCGAGCTCTGCCCCAGACCCAGCCTCCCGGCTGCCACTCTCCTGGCATCCAGCATCCCGCGTGCGGCCTGAGGACTGCGCTCGCCCGCTTCAGCAGTGCCGGCGGAGTGGAAGGCGGCGTGCTAACCCCAAAGGACAGGCAGCTCAGCTACTCCAGAGACGGCGGCTCTGCCTAGTGTTTTCAGGATAGGAAACACTTTCACACACATTATCTAGTCAGCTGTCCTTAGTGTGAGGAAAGTGGAAGCCTAGCTGTCTGGCAAATGCGCCGAAGCCATGGCCTCTCCGGGGTGGAATCCTGTCACCCTGGTAGCCACGGCCACACCCCTGAGATTTTCTGCCCTAAATTGTGGAGGGGCAAATGCATGCTGCATTTTGCCTGTAACCACGGCTTCACTTACAGTGTGATTCCAGACAAAGGTATTACTAAAAGCAGCAGAAAAGAAGTATTTCTAAAACGATGTAAACTCGTTACCTTTGACAACCAGTTACTATACAAGATGGGCCG